TCCTTGCTGAAGACCGCGCTCAACGGCCTGAATACTGCCATTCGCTCAGCACCAACATTGCAGCATGCACATAAGCTTGTCTTGGGAGCGCCTATCAAAGCACTCCTTGGTCTGTTTAACGCCCGGATTGCTCGTGTCAATACCACTGTCTCTGAGACGCTCCAAGTGATTGTCACTTACCTTCAGAAATGTGACCCTCCGGCAGCTGAAGAAGCAAGTGCGCCTGTGGCAGTTGATGAAGACAGCCAAGAGTATGGGGACTGGGCAGACATTGCGGCTGCATATGATGAGTCTCCAGCGATAAGTCCAGAACTCGAATTTGTGGGAACTGTCCTTCATCCTGCCGTGTTCCGGCTTATATCGAACTGCTTTGGAGAGGACTACTGTCCTGAAGATGCGATCTTGCTTAATGTTGTGGAGTGTTGGACGTCTATCGCGCAGACTCTGGTTAAAAATGGATTACGACACTGGGACAGCTACCTTAGCCCCTACAACGGCGACTCCTGGACATCACTCCGTTTGACAATGCAGACGAGAAAATTCACGCCTCTCTTCTTGGCAAGCAGCATTGAGAAAGATTCCCGGTTCGTAGTAGATTGCAAAGTCCAAGTGATCGGGATGTGGGTGTCATGTTTGGTAGAGCGAGTCTCGATGCTGAAATACCAACATCGCCTAACAGAAGCTTTGCTGAATCAAGTGGTGGCGGATCCGCTATTGCAGAATTTGCCCTTTGCCAGGGACCGAAAAGAAGGAAGGTACATGGTCACTCTGGAGGATCTAAGCCACCGCCGGGTATCTCTGATATCGAGTGTCCTCTCCAACATGCGTGCGCATTTGCAATTTCTGGAGGATGTGGAAGCCCGGGAACTCTCCAGTACTAAACAGGAGTACCGGGAGATCATCCAAAATATGATGTCCGCCATGAAGGCAAACTATTTGGAACTGGGCAACGGTGCAGCTAGCGTCCAGGGCGCTTATGTCGACTTCGTTCATCGGATTGTCGCATTCCTGCAGCAGCACAGTCGAGACATTTGCCCCATCGACCCATTCTTTACCGATCCCGCGTCGTTCCCTCTACCTTCTGGCGACCCGACGTATATCGTGGCCCGGTTGAAGAGCTACGAGCCGAAACTTTCATCGGAGAAAGTAGCAAAGACGCTCATAATGTTCATCCAGAGCGTTTCTGAGCGAGCGGCGATCGATGGGCAGCAGGACTACCTCGTCAATCAACTACACGCATCCATGGCAGATACCTATGAGGGTGGCCTTTCCGACAAGCCAACTCTGAGGGCAACCTTGTTGCAGGCAGTGTTCCCAGCCTATCTCGAGGCGTCCTTCAGCAACCCAGCATGCTGGATTCTAAGCCGGCCCATCATCCAGACCATCACGCTCGTCTTTCAGGATCTCTTGTTCAACATGGATACCACAGACTCTGCCTGCGTGGCATCCCTCGTGAACATCATCCACTCCGTCTTCCAAGCATCACACACTGCCCTCCTGTCCATAACGAGCAATGCCACCATGCTGAACGACCCTGTCGTAGCAATCAGCGCCGCTGCCTTCATCAAGATGATCACAGCCGCCTTGCCAATCATCGACTACATAGATCGAGCAACCGACATGGACCAAAGAATCCTCGCTCAGATACACGCCTTCCAACACTACGTGACATTCACCACAAGCCATCTAAACCAACCCCTCTCAACCACAGACCTATACGATATACCCCAGTCCACGGAAGCCTTCAGCACAGGAGACAACTCCTCATCTATAGTCACGAATCCTCCCTTCTTCCCTGATCTCCAGCGTTCCGCTGCACGAGAGCTGCACCTCTATCTCAACGAGAGCTGGTCCCGCCATCAAAAGAAATTCTACTTCACCAGACGCGGTGCACATCAGCCCCAGGAAATCAGCATTCAGCCTTCTGTCGCTGCGGAACTCGAACAGTCTCCGCAGAAGATTCTCGGTCCTATTGTTCTAGAGTTCCTGGATGTGGTGAGAGGACTTGATCTTGGTTTAGATGGCGACGATGTTGATCGCGCTGAGGAGTCTCTCTTTGCAGCTCAGCATCCAGATCAGCTGTCTGAGTCTGCGCATGCGAATACGATATATACTCTCGACCTTGTCGATGTTATAGGATACTGAATAGTTGGGGACATGAATCCCACTGGCATGAATATTGAAATCAGCATTGATAGTGATCTTGTACGATACTCCACTTGCTTTAGATGATGAATTGATATACTATAATACTGTTAACAGAGGTCATTGCCACATGGATACATACTGCCTATGTCAATACCAAATAAAATAGTGGAATACTACATTACTAAGTAAATGGGGATTTACCGCGAAAGAGTAGATTGTCACGTATATACCTGATCGCGGTTCGCTTGTTTGATACAGAATCAGATCAATACTAGCGAGATTTCCGCATATTTGACCATGGTCAATGGATATGAATATTTATGTTAAGCAGTAGAAATGATAAAGCAAACTAACCAGATAGTTTGATCCAATCAAATGACTTCCATTCATTTATTGCCATCAACCCAATCCCCATCCAATCCAATTACTACCACCAGCTAAACTCAATCATAATAAACAAGCAGAACCCACTAGTAACTGACCTACCAAGCAAAGTATGCAGCATTCAGTTTCTTCTCGTAATTAAATATATCAAATCTCAAGGCCTAAAATAACATACACCTCCATTGCATCTTCGTTCGACTCATGACATTTATGAATAGACATTAAAAGGTAGCTAACTGCCTTCTGGCTAGTATGGTTCATATCACATAGTAGAACATACAGACAGACAGACAGACAGACAGACAACCCAACAAGCAAACAGGTAGTTAGGTAGGTGGAATAACATATAGTAATGGGATTTCGGAGTAGTCATTCAAGGGGAGAACAGAGTCATAGTCATAATCATAGTCATAGTCATAGTCATCGGGATGAGATATAACAAGAGAGGGGATGCAATGAGAAGCAAAAAGCAGAAGCATAAGTTAAGAATATGAATGATGAGTTAGGTAGTTAGGAAACGGTAGCGAAGTGACCAAGTAGGTAGATAGATAAGAGGAAAGTGCCAGCAGCCAATATGCATGACAAACTAATTATGCACGCCCGTGCATATGTGTGTGCGCGTGGGATGCATGCATGCATGTCGAGCGTCCATTTGATAAGTCATGAAACGTTCCCTCCCCCCAAACCGGTACCCGAACCCAAAGTTGTTGTGTGATAGCCTGGCTTAGCTTAGCTTAGTTTATTTACAGCAAATCAGAGCACAATCATCAAAATCATCGTCATAATAGCGAGGCGAGGGTAAATATAGGATAGAAAGTAAGGTAAAGTAGGCTACCAACTATTGGTTCACACCTCCATCAGCATTTCCTTCATTCTGCTGACTGCTTGATCCTCTCCGGTGGAAAGGATGATGCGGATGGAAGCCTGAGAAGTGGAAAACCTTGCGCACGGCGCTGGCTACACCCGAGCGCCGTTTGGACTCGGGTGACGACGGCGGCTTATCTGCAGGCTCCTCGGGTTTGGGCCGCACCGTCGCGGTGTCTTGGAGCACGATCGAGGAGGGTTTCGGGGGCCATTGGCCATCCGATTTCCAGCCTTGAACCATGGCCTTGGTTACATCTGCTAGGTTGATTGGCACGGTGGGAGTGAGACCCTGGATGACGACTTTGGAGTAGATGGATGGGTACATCGCTGGGGTGATGGAGGCGCGGATGGGGTTGTCATTGGAGATGAGGGACGAGACGACAGGGATGAAAGGGTCTTCGCTGGTTGATTGCTGATGCGCGGAGTCAGGTTGACTCAACCCGGTATCTGCGGAGGAAGAAGACTCTCCACCCTGGTTCTCGTCGTCCCCTGCGGGGGGAGGCGGGGGTGGTTGTTCTGCTGCCGTGGAGGGTTCTTCGCCGCGAGATGGCGGCCGTGGGAGCGCGCTGTCATTTTCGGCGATGCTGAGAGAAGCTTCAGTTCGCAGGGCGAGGTCGTTTTGGGAATTGGCCGACGAAGCGGAGAGGGGAGGGGTGGCCACGGTAGTGGCAGCAGGCACGGACGCATTATGTGGAGGCTGTTGTTCCGAGGATGATGTCGTAGGTGTAGCAGCCTGCTGGGTCCTTGCTTCTCTTGCTCGAATCTCGTCCCTTGAGAGAGCTCCAGACCACGCATCCCGACGCTCTACCCATGTCCGGAGGCCTGCGTTCCATTGCATTTCCTCCTCCATCTGGCGGCGCCGTTTGCGCCTCCGCTCGGAGTCGTCACTGAGCGGGGTTCCGAGCGGGCTGGCGAGCTCGGAGGCATTGTGACCACCAACAGGGCTGATGGCGGGCGAAGGCTGGGGTTCTAGCTCGGAGCCGGAGCTGTCATATTCGCGTTGACGCCAACGTAGGACATCTTGGTCGGGGGTGGGAGGAGATGAGAATGAAGGAACGCCAGGCTCGGAGGAGAGTTCAAAGACCCAGTCGTTTCGGACGATCTCGCGAACATAGCGCTTCGCATCTCGGATGGCGGCATCGCGGGCCTCGGTTGCCATCGTGAGGGGATTTGCCAGAGGGGCAGCCAAATGTTAGAAGAAAGGCGCGGGGATTTTTTTGGTCGCGTGCGGAGGAGGAAAAGAGGGCCTGCAGAGATTCTGCAGGGTGGGATAGCAGTTAGCCGCCAAGAAGGAAGGAAGAATAGAAGCGAAGGACTGAAACTGAAACGATGGTGGCGGCGGGGGGATAACAGGAGAAAGAGAAGTTGGCGAAGGAAGAGAAGAAAGAAGGTTGGCTGATCCAAGGAGAGCTGCCGCCTCGTCGATGTCATTCAAGTTACTGTTGCATCTTCCTCTGAATTTTTTAGTCTTTCTTCCCCGCAAAATTCACACTGCTACCGCAACCGATTTAGTCAATTCATTCCATCACCCCATTTCATGGATCGTCTCCTGCTGTATTGAGTGTTAATATTATCTATCGGTTACAATTTCAAATGGAATCGTGTCATGCTGCGGTATTGTATTGATACATTGTGGTTCGTGTCGCTAATCAGTTCGTAGTATACAAGCCCAGTTCCTGCCCTTGCGTTGCCATTCCAATCCCAGCCCAAATTCAGACCTACACAAACGCGAAGAATATCAAGTTGATCTATGTGACATGAAAAACATCCAAGCAATCCTTTTCTATTGAACCCCCAATTGCTTAACGCTGTACAATTGAACCAGTTCAGGTCCGGACGCGCGCCGCATCCACGCTAGTTGCCGACTCGTCCACGCCCGCCGGCATGAAGCCCCAACCAGGCGCCTTCTTGCGTCGGCCCTTGCGGTCACCGTACTGCTCGTCGAACTTGCGGATTGCAGAGAGCGATGACATGTCCTCGCTGATTGATGCGCTAATCTCCTCCATACCACGCTCGAAGTGCTTCCAGGTCAAGGTGCGTCGCGCGGGATACTGGTACGGTTCTTCGCCTTGGTGCTGCGCTGCCAGGTCGTTCTCTTCCCGGACACAAGCCAAAGCGGCCGCAACGGAAAGGTTCTTGAGGTCGGATCCGGAATAAAGAGGCGTGCGACGAGCCAGCTCGGCCAAATCAACCGAGCTGTCCAGGGTTTCCTCCTTCAGATGAATCTTCAAGATGGCCAGGCGATCCTGTTCGGTCGGAAGATCCACCAATAGTCGCCGGGGGAGACGCCGGAGAACCGCATCGTCGAGATCAAATGGTCGGTTCGTGGCAACCATGATAAAGGCGGACATGTCGTTCATCCCGTCCCATTCCCGCAGAAATTGGTTGATAAGCTCCCGGTGTGACGTTCGGCTGCTGGCTCCAGTGCGAGAACAGAAGATAGCGTCGGCCTCGTCGATGAACACGACGCAGGGGCTCAGCTTCTTAGCCAGCGTGAAGATGGCCTTGACGTTCTTCTCGCCCTCGCCAACGTACATGTCGTAGACTTCGGACCCGCTGACTTCCAAGACGGTGGCACCGCTTTCACGAGCGACGGCTTTCGCCAGGAGGGTTTTACCCGTACCTGGAGGCCCGTAGAGCAACAAACCAGGGATCTTATCAGTCGCCAGAACACCGTAGGTGAACGCTTCGGGTCGGATCAGAGAAAGAGAGGTCAGAGTCTTCAATGCATCAATGGTTTCAGGTGGCACATGAACATCAGAGAATGTAGTGCGAATGCTCTTGGCATCCACGACTCCATTCAATAGTTTCTTCTCGTGTGTGTTGCACGTTTTCCGCAAGGAGCCTAACAAGCGCTCCCGGTCGTTTCCTGTCTCGGTAGCCTTCGGTTTGGGCGTTTTCTCGTGCAGCCAGTCGTTCTTGACACGCTCAGTCTTCTGCATCATCTCAAGTCCCCGCCGAATGTGATCATAACCGAAAGCTTCATCTGCTCCTAGAGAACCAAGTGCTAGAGTCGTAGCCCAGTGAACCTGGCTGTACGGCCAGTACCGCTCATCGAGGCCACTTTCCTTCACGAGGGACGCATCCAAAGGCCAGGCGCGATCACGGTAAATGTCGTCCTTGAGCGCCGAAGGGCTATCGGCGAGCCGCGTTCGGAGCAGATCTTGGACGTGGCGAATGTTGATATCGAGAGTGCGCGTCTTGCGGTCTTCCGCGAATACGCGCTCTGCAACCTCGGACTTCATGGCGGGTGTGATGACCAGCATCTGGGAGAATTGATCGTCAAAGGCGTTTTGCATGAGCTTGGCCGCATCCGAATCAGGTGCAGCTTCCTGTGCCGATGTACCAATGAAGAGGACCCGGGAACCAGCCTTTCTCTTCTCCTCTATAGCCTTCTGTAATAGAGTGATAAACTTGGAGCCCTCGCGGGTGGTCTGGATGTCTCCATAATCCTGTACTTGCACGATGACATCTCGCTCCACGGCGGGACCGCGACCTTCCGCCACTTCGTGCGCAGCAGAGTCTTCTCCTTCAGTCGCTGCTGGCAACACCTGCTTCGATGGCTTGCTGGGCGACGACAGGAGCTCTCGAACAAGTCGAAGTCGCCTGTCCTCTGCGCGATTCACAGCACTCTGTGATGAAGAGCCACCTATCTGGTCCGCTGGCGCATTGAACGAGGCCACCAACGACTTCAGGCCCATTAGGTTGGGAAGCGCAATATCTCCCGAGTCACGAGTGCTCTCAATAGTTATAAATTTGGGACGCAAACCCGACCGGAGACTGCGTGGTGTGTCAATGTCGTCCTCGGCATCCCCATCACCCATGCCGTCGTCTTGCCAGGTATCAGAGAGAGAAGGCCGATATACCTCGTAGCCAAGGGATCTGATGGGCGATGTTGTGCCGATGTCCGCCAAATCCTGTTCGCTGCATAGCTGAGCAATGTCCTGCGCGTTGAGTGTAACCAAATCCGCCCCCAGCTCTTGGGCCAGCCTCTTCACCACCGCATCCAAGAACAGAATACCATCGGTACCCGGGTACTGAAGAACAAGATGTGATTTGCGTGCGGAGGGCTCTTGGGCGTACTTGGCTGGCGGTAGCCGCAACCCGGCTCGGGCAGAGGCGCACAGCTCTTCCCACAGCGCTTCCGTCAAAGCATACCGATCCTCCGGAGTATCAGATCCCTCAGGCGCAGGCGGCTCTTCTCCACTACCGCCCCGTCCTAGCTGTTGTGTGGCCTCCTCCTTCTCCAGTTCAATTTCCGTCGGCCGTATCTTCACATGCTGTAGTAATTTGACGTCACCGTCTCCCTTTCCATCATTGACGACTGTGTTTCGCTCGTAGAACCAGTCGGGAACAGTGGCAACCGGAGCAGTCCACTCCTTCGCCGGTCGTCTGTTCCGTAAAGCTCTGCGAACTGCCGAACCGTAGGGTTTCGCGTCTTTCTTGTCCAATCGATCTGCGGAAGGTGTTGCAACGGAAGCATCACGGCTAGCTAATGTGGGTTCTGCATTGTGAGTAGGGAGATCACCGGGGACATTCCCCGTTGTCGAATCCCGAGCATTATGAGGATCTGAAGGAGTGGACGACAGCCATGGTCGCGAAAGATGGAACCGACGCGATTGCGAGACAACGGCGGCGGGATAGCGGCGATGCGCGATGAATCGGCAGGGTCGTGCTACAGACCGAAGGAACCTGCCTTGGTGCATTGACGAATACATCCGGGGCCAACAATGCCGCCGGAACTGAATAATCGAATTACTGCTGACGCTGCAGGGAACAAACCGTCTGCATCAGCGTGGGTGCAAGTTGGATTCAGGGCAGCAAGACTTTCATCTTGCCTTTCTGGACTGTTCCTTGCGGGTCGGCTCTCCTTTGTCAGCGCGCCAAACTGTAGTATCACGTGACTGAGAATGGCTGGTGGCTGCTGCTGCAAGTGCCGCCAAAGAGACCCAGTGGATCAGGCAGAGAGGATTTAAGCTTGATTGCAGTGATCTAACCACCTGGGCAGGCGCCAACAAACGTAGGTGTCAACTCGACATGATGCATCATCCAGATTGATGCTGCTTCGCTCAGCTGCACCGTTTCCTTTCCAGAGAACTACTGCGGCTTACGGAAAGTATAATGCAACGAATACCCAATCTACGGTGAACAAGAAAGCAAGAAGTGGAATGATCCAGAAATGAATGATTTTATTATTCCTAGTTTGTCCCAAATGCGAATCTGCACGAAATGGCGCCAGCCAGAGCAGATGATCGACACCGAAGCAAAGCCTGATGCAACCGAATGCCTGTACCCCACCACTCATGCTGGTTTGACAAGAGAATCGACGTCAGAGTGAAAAATAAACCATTAACAGTCCTAAATTGAAAATCTTGGTGGATGTCAGCCAATACTCCCATGACACAGGATGAATGACAACGAGGCGCAAAATAAACGCAATGATGGTTTTTCTCAGACAAAGTATACTGGCAAGTAGCAGACCAACCGGGAAAGGAAGGTCCGAACTATCTCCTCATGGACGATTCAGAGGATAAAGAAGAAAAGAAGGTTCTGTCATCTTCGAAAAGGGGATGGAAGGGAAAAGGAATATTGCAAGAAAAGAGTGAGGAATTAACACTAACCTTGTGACAAATGGAAGTGTTGCAGCACAACCTGATGTGTTAGTGTAGTGGTCTGATGTATCAGTCTCAGTATGCATTTATACTGCGAAAAGCTACAACTGGGCATGTGGATTGACGCGTGGCGTATCCAGACCAGAACCAAGAATATTGTAGATGCATAGGATCAAAATGCAATTCTGAAAGAAGTCGCAAAATGCAGCCTGGCAATAGTGTTGAGCCATGGAGAGGCGAATGCTGAAGAGAAGGAAGAAGAAAAACCAAATCGCGACCGAAAATAATAAAAGCAGCCCACGCGCAAGAATATTATTCCGGTGTCCACGTGATGCCGGCTTACCAGAAAGAGGCATAGCGAGCAAGTCGCGGTGGGTGGCCATCGTCAAGAATGGACCAATCACGAGTGAGAAAAGAAAAGCCTCAGCAGGCCGGAGGAAGGAAGAAGATCTCGCCATGGGGTCTGGTCTGTCTGTCTGTCTGTCTGTCTCTCTCTCGCTCTCTCACTTGGGTTCCGACTAACTTTCTGAGTGAGTGAGTGAGTGTTGTCCCGGCTGTACTCTCTCTCGCTGGCTCGTCCCTTTCCCTGCCTTAGTATCTTCTGCTTCCCGTACGGTTCCTGTTCTCCTTCCCTCTCTCTCTCTCTCTCTCTCTCTCTACCTCGCTCTTTTTTTCTTTCCTCTCTCTTCCTCTTAACCCCATTATTCCTCTCCCGCCTCCTCCAGAATTTCCTCCTTTCCCCCCTCTTCCCGCTTCTGGGCTGCTAGTTCTGTTGCGCGTGGTAAGTGTCTTTGGGTACCACTTTTATCTTTCTTCCCGCGAGGTTCGGTCCAGCACGCCCCGTTCGTTATCGAGCGATTGAACTGGCGATCGCGACAGGTGCCCGTCTCGCTTTTCGTTGGCCCCTAGCCCCTCCACACCTCCCGGCCTCCCTAATCCCATCACTACCAACTTTACTAGTCTACTCTACTTTCACTGCCCAGCACCCCCATCATTCCATTTCCTCACTGCTGTCTCTCACCACCACCACCACCACCACCAACTCCCGTTCCCGATCATCCACCTAACCCACCCCAGCCTCCTTCTAAATCGTTCCCTCCCACTAACATTGGAGGTGTAGGATCTTCTCCTCCCTCCCGATCTGGTGGGCACAGGTGATTAGGCCGGTCCGATCCATGCTCCAGATCTCGTGTGGTCCTGGGTGATACCGACGCAGGCTCAATCGCCCCGTCAGCTGCGTCTTGGCCTCCGCTCCGACACTAAAAGCGGCCTGTTGTGCCTCCA